TCTCGAACTGCTGAACTACTGACCTTCCACAGCCTGCAGTTCAGCATCTTAACCACTTGAGCCACCGCAGCTCCAGGATAGCATCTGAGTCTCATTTAAAGGCTTTTGTGTGACTCCGACCTCAGCATGGTCTATCCTTTGTACTGTTGGGATGGTCAACCCTTCATTGTTCACATTGTTCAGATATAATTAACTTAAAATGCATTTGGTGTGGTACATGGTAGAAGTGAGGTAGCCACTCATTTTGTCTCCTTTTTGCCCTGTTTTTCTGTCTTGGCAGGGACTCAAGATTGTTATCAATAGGAGGTGGTTCTGATGAAGTCATGCTTTCTATTATATGCAAGTACATGCAGACCTTACCCAAGAAGCAGCACTTATAAATTTACGTTTCCTCATATGTAATCTGCATTAGGTGGATTGTCTTGAATAAATAATATACAATACAGCAATTCTGAAAGTCAATAAACTTGAATTTGATTATGGTTCATGTTGCAGGACTCTTGCATTGCTTACAGACATCAAGCACAGAAGCTACTTCCCCTTTTATACTCAGGTGATAAAACAAGCTGATCCAAGCTACATTACCTGCCCCCCCAAGCCTAGACTACTACAGTGTACTCTATGTGGAGCTGCCTTTGAAGACAACTTGGAAATGGCAGTTTGTCCTTACTATGTAAGTGCTCTCTAGCTGCAGCCGACTTATGGCCACCCCAGCAAGGGGCTTTCAAGACAAGTGAGAAGCAGAGGTGGTCTGCCATTACCATCCTCTCCAGAGTCTTCTTTGGTGGTCTCCCATCCAAGTCCCAAGCCTGCTTAGCTTCCAAGATCTGTTGTTTGAGCTCTACCATGCCACCTTCCCTCCAACACAATTACTAACTGCATCTAATTGCTTTGTATTCTTTACACCTATTTTGAAATTCTTCCGTTTGGGGCCTGCTACAGAATTTTAACACCTAGTCTTCACTACAGGAGAACATGTTACACCAATCTGTCCTGTGTCTCCAAGAATCCTATTACACTGGGGCCTGCAAGCATCAGTGAGACATATCTGGGCTGATCAAGAGTCGTTAGTTAGGTTTATTGTTAGTGCAGCAGTGTTCAGCATGGAAGTAATTAAAAAGGATAATTCACAGAATATATTGCAGAACAAACGTGCTAAAGTTCCATCTGGTTGCATAAATTAGTGTAATTTATTACTGACCACTGAGTAGTAGTAATTTACTAGCAATAAGCTGCAAACATTGGTTTGTGATAGACCCTATAATTTTCCTCCATTGTACAGCACGAACAAAACCTTCCCATCTCTAGGAAATAGGAGTATGAGCCATGGAATTTCTGTAATTGGCAAAGGGCATTAGTAACATTTTCCCATTTGTGAGCTATGTATTGAATCCAGCCAACTTTTTCATTCGGGCTCACGCAGTTCCCCTCTTCATTATAGCCACTATCACACATGGCTTTTGTCATCCAGGTCCCACGATTCCCAGCAGAGCCTTTTGGGCAGTCAGTGGGGATCCCCCTTCACACTTTCTCACCAGTGATAAAGTAGTTGTATTGAATGTACCGGTATGTCTTAAACCGGTTTTTCGCTATCTCAGCAGAATTGGGGGGGGGGTATTTAAATACTCTTCCCAGGCTCTATGCAATTGTTTTTTCCAAGTTATACACCTTGAATCTCAGGGCTGTGGATTACATTTCTTACCTAAAATTATCCAAAGCACAGGATATGTAAATATGCTAGAAGTGCATTTGTTTCCTTCCATAAAAATATAAGAGGCTTGCTGGATCAGACTAGTGGCCCATCTAGTCCAGCATCCTGTTTCACACAGTGACCCAACTAGTTGCCATGGAAAGCTAACAAAGAACATCAAGAAGCTTTGGTTTTTATACCCTGCTCTTCACTACCCGAAGGAGTCTTGGAGCAGCTTACAATCACCTTCCCTTCCTCTCTCCACAACAGAGACACCCTGTGAGGTAGGTAGGGCTGAGAGAGTTCTGAAAGAATTGTGACTGACCCAAGGTCACCCGGCAGCTACATGTGGGAAAGTGGGTTGCCCCTGAATATGGTATAACCCCCTCTTAAAGTCACCTATGCTAAATGCTATGCTGTTCCTAGGCAAATCCATAAACAGGTTAAGGGGCAACCCCTGGGTCTAGAGCAGCTTAGTATAAATTTCTACCTGCCAGTTTTGGATGGTCAGCTTAATACCTAATTTGTACAATTTAGTTTTTATTTATTGGCAGTCTTAATCAGAGACTTTAAATTATGGTATTTTATGTGTATTTTATAATAATTGTTTTATTTGTATTATAAGCTGCCTGGAGTTCCACAAGGTACAAAGGTAGCTAATAAATATTTTAAATAAATAAATAAGTGGAAATTACTATTTCCAGGCTTGCACTGATCATGAAACTGCAATCTGTGCCAAAATCAGCTGCACTTGTGACTTTCTGCTGCACTGTTTCCTGGATTGGGGGTGTAAGTAACACTAGACCAGTACTGCATTTGGCTACCAGTGACTGTGTACTAGGAACATCTGCATTGAAAATGGGCTTCTACCACCCTTCCATAACCACATAAGAATTGAGGGAAACAGGGATTGCAGTAACACTGCCTTTACATAATCAAAAGCTATAGGCAACTACTCCGTGCAATTACAAGCACCACAGGGCAACTTTAAATGCCTACTGCATGATTATTAGTTCTGTTTCTACTCTATAATTGTTAAAATGTTATAAAATGTCCATGTTAAGATTAACATGAGTGACAATTAACTAGGATGTAAAAACTAGCTTCAAACCCTGGTTTCAAATTGTGGATGTTTATTATGGTTCTCATACACTTCTGCATTGTATCTTCTGATTTTCTATATGAAATCTCCAACACAGCTCACAAGACAATGCTATCAATAGAAAAAGGTTCAAGTAAAAAAAATTAAAAACGACTGATTTAAATAATGAACAAATATACCGTTACAGATTTCACCGAGACAGAAATCAGCAACAAAAGTTAACTATTAAAAGCGCTGAATAAAAAGATTTAACCTAGCACCTAAATCAACATAACAAAGGTGGGTCAGAAATGGGTCTGGGGACAGTATATCATGGGTATCAACCCATCTAAGTCCTGAGGATAGGAGCACTCAGTGAAGAGCCTCTGATGCACATCTCAAAGCCTGGCCAGGTTTGTGTTCAGCAGTGATGCAGATCTAACTCTACATCATGACTATTTAAAAAAAACAGAAAGAAAGAGAAGCCCTCAGGGTTGTCTGTGTATCTTAATTATGGTTCCGTCACGGTTGTATCACAACCGAGCCTCTGCTGTAACTAGTACAAGTGTTAAGCATATTCTTGATAATGCAGCTTCATGTAAAGTAAATGTGTGGATTTAATAATACATTCATGTTAGCATTTCTAAAACCTTCAATAATGGAAAAAACCATTTTCAGTAATAAACTCATACCAGCTAAAAGATTTCATACATGTTTTTATTCTTTAACAGATAAGAACTATAAATCCTGACATGTTTCATTAAATGGTATTAAAGAATTTGGCCAAGCGTGACAGTAACTCTTCATACTGTGAAAGATGGTGTTACACTATAACAGGAGTATAATAGTTTTGTTACCTGCCACATAAAAACATGCCGTGTGGCTAATAGGATACCAGTGGCCAACACAAGTATAGTAGGGCTTCTCATTAGAAGGCATGTGGTATTTTTCTGGCATCGCAAAATATTCTTTAGTACAAAATCTGTAATACTATAGGTCCCTATTTTCAAAAATGCTTTCACAGTTATATGAATAAAAAATTAAATGTAAGGTCATCATGATGCAGCAATCTCAATAAACTAAAAAACGGTAATGTATCTTAGTATTTGCAGCCATTTCCCCCAACCCAGAGATATGCACAGCAAAGCTGGATATCAAAGCTGTTATCAAAAGAGTAACCAACCTCACTGTGCTGACACTAAGCACATCATCTCCGTTCACCAAGTGGAACCAAGTACAGGGACTCTGGCCCAGTGCTGACCCGGGGGGGGGGGGCACTGACAAAAGCCTGCTTTCATGATGATCTATGCCTGTTCTGTCTCCCCACAAATAATCAACCTGCAGTTGAAGGAACTGAGCGGTAGCACTTCTACCTCTCAACCCCTTTTGTTAATTCTAAGTTAAGATAAATCCCAGCTGCTGCAACTATGAACAAGTCACTGTGGGCACAAGCCAGCCAAAACACAGCACAGCAGAAGCCTCATTAATTTCACTGAGAACGTTAAAAGCACATGCTTAAGTTTTCCACTGAACTCAATGAGGCTACTTTGCCTGGATCATGTCCAAAACTTTTAAAAATTCAATATAATGTGATCATAGCATAATCTAAATAAGATTGCTTTTCACTGTGCCTGTAACTCTGATGGGAAAAAATCTATAGCTGGAAAGTGGAAATTTTTTATCTTAGACAGGAACACCCTCCTCTTTTTGTTCCTCTGCAATGTTAAAAAAATATTGTATGACATCTCCTCCTGCCCCACCCCAATAGCTATTTTTGTCTTCAGAGTGCTCAAACAAGAGCAAAATTCAATGTAAGAACCCTAGAAAACAAGGGTTTATTTAACAGAAAGGTTTCTAGCCTGATAAATACTAAGAAATTCACAGAACAGCCCCAGGTGTGTTAATAATGTTTATACAAAAAATAGTTTCCCGTTTTCCAGAAAGACCTTTCTACAAGTCCGGTACCACTAATTATAATGTCATAAAGGGAGAATCTGCATCACCTCAATTTAATAATCCAGTAAATTACAAAAAAGACAAACAGTGAAAAGAGCATCATGTAGCACAAAAGTTTTGTTTGGCTTCCTCTGGAAAGAGTTTTTAGTCTACCCATTGTTGCACCAAGAAATCCACCCGTTGAATCAAAATCATTATCCTACAGTAAAAAAGAGAGAGAATATTATTTGCACTAATAATTTATTTACAACATTTCTATGCTGCTTTTCCACCCAATCAGGGTACACAAGGTGGCTAACATAAACACATTAAAACAATTAAACAATTAAAATACATGTAAAATATAAAATGCAATTAAAAACACAAATAAACAACAGTAGAAGGAGGGCCAATAACCATTACTGGGGATATGCCAGAAGAAACAGAAAAGTCTTCACCTGCTGGCAAAAGACACTGACGGAGACAAACAAACCCCGCTGGGGAGGAAGTCCCAAAGTTTTGGTGCCACGATGGACAGGCTGCCTCCTGTCTAACCTCAGATGGTAGGGGCAACCGAAGCAGGGCCCCCCAAGGATAACCGGAGTGAGCAGGTAGGTTTGTATGGGAGAAGACGGTCCTTAAGGTATGTTTCTCCAGGCTGTACAGGGCTTCAAAGGTCAATACCAGCACCTTGACTTGAGCTCAGAAGCCAGTGTATGTGGAACAAGACTGGAGTGATATAGTCCCTATGACTCATTCCAGAGTCCCTATGACTTTGGCTGCAGCATTCTGTACCAACTGTAGCTTGCAGACAGTCTTCCAAGGGCAGCCCCACATAAAGCGCATTGCCATAATCTAATCTAGATGTTACCAGGCCATGCACCACAGTGGCAAGACCTTTTCTGCCCAGGAACGGGTGCAACTGGCTCAACACCTGAAGCTGCTGAAATGCACCCCTGGCCACCAGGGCCACCTGTTTAACCAACAAGAGGCCCGAGTCCAGGAGCACCCCTAAGCTACAAAGCTGCTCCTTTAAGGGGAGTGCAACCCCATCCAGAACAGGGGATAACTCATGATCTGGATCGACCCTTCCCCCCACTTCCATTCTGTTGGGATTATGTTTCAGCTTGTTAGCCTCGTCCATTCCAAAACTGCCTCCAGACCCCTGCTCATGGTTTCTACAGCCTCCTTAGAATCTACTGGCAGTGCAAGATTGAGCTGAGTATCATCTGTATATTGATGACAGCTCAGCTCAAATCTCCATAGATGCTGAAAAGCCTGAGGGACAAGATGGAACCTTGGGGAACCCCAAAGGCCAAGCAGCAGAGTAGCACCACACTCTAAAACCTATCCTCAAGGTATTATCGGAACCACTGCAGAATAGTGCCTCCCAGTTCTAGTCTCAAAAGGCAATCAAGAAGGATAACATGAACAATGGTATCAAAAGCCACTAAAAGGTCCAGGAGAATTAACAAGTCACACCCCCTATCCATCTCCCAGCACATGTCATCCACCAGGGCAACCGAACCAGGCCTGAAACCAGATTGGAATGGATCTAAACAACCCGCTTCAGTCAGGAATCTCTGAAGTTGGCCAGTCACCACTCTTTCAATCACCTTGCTCAAAAGTGGCACATTTGAGACTGGATGGTAGTTATTCACCTCTCCTGGATCCACAGCAGGTCACTTTAGGAGTGGACACACAATTGCCCATTTCAAGGCAGGCGCTACCACCTTGTCTCTCAGGGAGGAATTTACCGTCTCCCAGACCCAGTCTGCCACCCAGCAGATTTAAGCAGCCAGGAGATGCAAGAGTCATACATACAGGCGGTAGTTCTCAAGCTTCCCAGAATCCTGTTCAAATCTCAGACTGCACAAGCTGAAAGGTATCCCACACAACTGGACAAATTGGCACCCTGGGACCATCCAGTCCTGTTGCTGCTAACATACAGTCCAAATTGGAATGGATGCAAGAGACTTTATCTGCAAAGCGCTTAGCAACATGACTGCAGTGGGCTGCAAAGCAGTCCTCCTCTTCCTGCTGGCCAGAACCCAACAGACCCCTGCCCTACCGGAAGAGTTTTGCAGATCCACACTGTGCAGATACAATGATGGTGGGAAAGTATTGTTTCATTGCCACATCACTGCCACGGAGTAGGCTTTCAAATGAGCGCTAGCCTGTGCCTTGTCAGATTTGTCCCATCTTTCTCCACCATTGCTCTAGCGATCTCCCCTCCCTTTTCATCTTATGGAGCCTCTCAGTAAACCAAGGGGCTGTCTGGGCTCCTCAACCTGAGAAGAGGGTGCTGATAAGGGTGTACATTTGGATCTACCTGAGCCAAAAATATTGGTATTTTTTCAGGTATATGTCGGCTTCCCAAACGTATCTGGGTTTTCTCAGGAAAACTGGGGGGGGGGGGAAATCCCAAGAAATTCCAGGATATATTCAGGAATTTTGGATAGATCTGAAAACAGCAGAGAGGCAGGAGCAGTTACAGCATCACTGATGAGTTGCTTTCCCCAATGTAGAGGAACATGTCCACAGAGGAACGTAACAGCCCTGTTGGAACAGGCCAGTGGTCCATCTAGTCTAGCAGCCTACTTCTCATAGCTGCCAACCAGACACTCCCTACAAGTTGCACATGTGCAGCCAGGTGCACATGTGCAGAAGTCTTTCAAAAGAAAAAAGTAATTAAACAGCTGTTTAGCAGGTCAAAGGGAAAGGGGGAGTGGGAGTGAATTCAGCCCCCAATACCCTACTAAACATTTGAGGGTTAGAAATGTTACCATTTAGAAAGAGCTACATCTATAGCCCCATCTGTTGGAGAAGGAAACCACATGTACAAGCACCCATTTGTACACATACATCCAGCTGGGGATTCATATGAGAATGCATGCACAAAAGCAAGCCATGTCCCTAGCTGGATTAGGGTACTTACCTTTAAAAAGGAATCCATGGCATGTAATTTATTTATTTATTATTTATTTATTATATTTATAACCCACCCTCCCCGCAAGCACGCTCAGGGCGGCTCACATTGCCTGGCACAGTGTGCCAGGTTTCTATACCTCAAACATTTAAAACTTAACACTATTCAAATATTTAAAACAATTAAACAATCAACAATATGCAAGTAAAGTGCAGTCAGTTATTATTACCCAAGATGGCATAACATGTCGTGTGGGCTTAGATGGTTACAGGCACCTAAGCGTATTGGCTCAAACTCACTACAGCCAGCCTCCACCACAGGTATTAATAGTGGTCGTTGATGGTAATGTGGGTGGCTCCTAACTGAAGGCCTGGTGGAAGAGCTCTGTCTTGCAGGCCCTGCGGAACTGCATAAGATCCCGCAGGGCCCTGATCTCCTCCGGGAGCTCTGCACTATATGAACGTTTTGGCCCTGAAGTTTCTTCTTAACAGACATTTCTAAACAATTTAGAGGTGAAGAGATGAAAAGACCAAAGCTGAAACTGTAAAAAATATATTGGAAACAAAAACACATAAAACCTCAGTAAGGCCACATTTTAACAAAGAAAACACAAGTAAATGCATTGATGGGGAAACACATTCTGAACTCATAAAGCAAGTGAAAATGTGGACTATATACATACCATTTCAGTTAGCATTTTGTTTTGCTGTTTAACTTCTGTTCCAATTTCAATAGAAAGCTGTAATGGGGAGGGAGAGGACAGAAAATGATCCATTATAACCTGCACTACTAAATGGAATATATTATGCAAAAAACAAATCTGAGGAGAACCAACTATATAACTAAGAAACTATAGCTAAGAAACCTTAAAGAATCAGCTCATAGAAAAACATCCATAAAAGTATTCTGTAAAAGAATCATAAGCAGCAGCTGTTTTTTCAAACACAAATGATCTTTAGAAACAACAGATCTCCCTTTAGTTAATGTACTTATTGAATCAATTAATTAATTAATGTTTATTTGTGGTCAAAGACCATTTTTAATAAAAACACAATATTATACAGTCAAAGAGATTTATTCCAGGACAGAAAATATGTTTAGTCATAAAAACCTTAAAATATTTATGATCTATAATAATTCAAAAAAAAACAACCTTAAGATATATCTAAAGTGTCTAACATATGTAAAATGATTACGAGTCCTACAGATAAAAACTATACATAACCATACTTCTAGTTGTGAAATTTTACCAAGTAGAAGCAGAATTTGGCTATTTGTCTGGAGATAATTGGCTTTTCATTAACTAAAAGTATCTCCAGGCAGGTCTCATCTGCATCTACCAATGGTCTGTCTAAAAAAGGGGAAATAAACTTATCCCTATGAACTTGATGGAACGGGCACCTAAAGAACATAGGAAACATCGATTCCTCTTCCTCAATAGAACAAGGGCAATATCTATCTTCATATGGGATCTTCCTATATTTCTCATCTAGCACCCTTGAAGGGATAACTGCACAACGAGCCAAAGAAAGAGCTCTTCTATGAGATGGCACATCCAAATATGTAAAATATTTGGCCATATTCATAACGTATCTGGACTCTCTGGGGGCCAGGAAACAAGGAGCTTTTATTAAATCTCGCTGTCGCTCTTATATCATGCACCCTTTGTTTGATGGTACTTTTCGCCTGGGCACTGCTCTGCACTAAAAGATTCTCAGAAGAGAGTCCTATTCTTTCTAAATTGATCTTGACCATTCACATCCACCTTGGGTGATGAGAATCTTGAATTATTAGTGGGGAAAGGCCTTTTGGATAATGTACTTATTTATTACATTAACAGCCCACCTTTCTTGCTGAGAGTCAAAGCAGATTAAAAATATAAAACAATGCAATCAAATAACAGCAGACATCCTGTACACAATATAATAGGACTAAATTTACAAAAATTAGAAAAAATGAAAAAAAGTATTAGACAGGCAGGCCATTCCAAGAGAAAACAAGATAGCGATCGCTCTGCTCAATTTCTAGTACTAAGCATTTTGTTTACATTTCTCTTTTTAGTTTCTCATTTTATTTTTAAACCATATCTGTGGATATTGGAGAAAAACTATGTAATAATACAGAGATTCCCACCCATTTATGATACATTCTGCTGACTTGAGTCCATGAGGGGGACCACTGTGCTTCACAGCTGTGGAATAGACTAAGTGGCTGGTCGGGCTCTCCAGTTCTATTTTGTTTGTCAAAGCCCACTGCACGGTTTGATTACAGTTCAAGTATGATTATTTCTATGGCATTGAAGGAGTCTAGCTTGATATCACAACTTTCATTGGCTGGGTTTGCCACTGACCCAGCTGACTTATAACTCCCTGGGGAACGGAATGCCGGCTCACAGTGTGCCAACGAAGCATAGCTTCTGCTGTGTCCAAACATGCAGCTTGAATCTCAATTAGCCAAAAGGGCAGCTGGACTTCAAATCCAATTAGAGGAGGAATTTGTTCCATGAATGAATGAGCTAGGCTTTTCGATGGGCAATATTTTGCCTAAATTCGATTAAGCAGTCCGATTTTTACAATATTGCCTCTACACTGATTGAGCAAGTATTATGTACACCAATAAATTTTAATGCTGTTGCCATAATGATATACTTACTGATTTTATGGCAGTGACTTTTGAACGCAAACTTTCAGTTAACCTTTCATTTTCTTCCTCGTAGACACTGTATCCACTATTGGCATAGCCGTAATTGCCACTAGCTGTTCCTTCAGCTGAAAAGACAATCAGTTTAGGCACCAGAAATACAGCCAGAGCACAGGGTTTCTGAGGAGAAAAGATCAATTTTCCTTTCATTTTGACTATGCCATCAGCCACATTTAAAAGATCAAGGGAAGTACACTGTTATGCAATATAAAGTCCTAGACACACAAGTAAATGTACATAATCCACCAAGTTTTTGCTCCAAGACTTTCTATCCCTGCGATATGAAACCCATTTCTTTGCTCATACACAGAGCTGTATGAACAATCTGAATCCTTGCTTCCGCTGCCATGATTTTCACAATGGTAAGCATTCAAGGAGGGAATAATCATTGTTCTTAAAACGAGATCCTCTCTGTCACATGGAATATATCCTTACTCATGTATTTTAGCACTGTAACCTCTGGAGCTCCCATCCATATTCAAATGCTATCATATAATTTGAAATGCACAGCATTAATTTGTATTTCCTTAACACATATGCAACAGGTCCCTTATGTCACATCATACAATTGTACTGAAACACCTCTTCCAAATGGCAGATGTCATAAAGTCAAGTCTAAAAAAGGAGATCCCCAGCCCCCTAGTAACTACAGGCCAATCAGCCTGTTATCCACCATTGGGAAGTTGTATGCAAGATACTTAAGCTATGGATTTCAAACCAGCAAATTTTAGGCATGGAACAAGTTGGATTTTGCCAGGGGAAGTCAACTTTAGACCATTGTATTGTGTTGAACCATCTGACAAATAAATATAGGAACGTGAAGGGGCTTACTTTATATGCAGCTTTTTTAGATCTCAAGGGTGCCTTCGATTCCATTCCTAGAGATATCCTGTGGAGGAAACTAAGGGACCTGGAGATTGATGAGAGATTGCTCTTTTTTATTAAAAAGCTCCATTCTGAGACTACCTGCCAAGTTAGATGCTCAAAGATGGGTGATTTAACTCCTAAGATCCCAATTACTATTGGAGTTAAACAAGGGTGCATTTTGGCTCCCCTTCTGTTTAACCTATTTTTAAATGACCTGGTGCCCTTCTTAGAAGGAATTGATGGACATAATCCAAAATTGGGGGCGACCCATGTCCCGTTACCCTTGTACACAGATGATATGGTGCTCCTTTTCCTCTCGGAAATAGGGATGAAAAGGATGTTATCTTGCTTTCTAGAGTATTGTGAACTGATTAAACTGACGCTAAACTTTGATAAGTCCAAAATCATTACTTTTGGAAAAAACTAGAAACCTGTTAAGTGGAATATTAGAGGACAAGTGATGGAACAGGTCAAAAGTTTTAGATATCTAGGAGTCTATCTCCACTATAGAGCTGGATGGGATACTCATATTAAAGAAGTGTTAAAATCTGTGAACAGTAACATTCTCGCAATTTCCTGCTTTTTATATACTAAGGGGGATCAATATATCCCTGCAGCCTTTCAAGTGTTTAATTACAAAATTAGTGCCAAATTGCTCTATGGCATTCCAATCTGGATCTCAGCTTTTAATAAAGCAGTTGAACGTGTACAATCTAAGTTCTTAAGGAAAGTCTTAGGGCTGCCAGCATGTGTGCCCTATGCAGCTATTTGTTTGGAGACAAATCAAAGGTGCCTAGAGACCAAAGCTTGGATCACAGGAATTAAATTTTGGCTCTATTTACATTTCAGAAGTAATTCCAATCGTCTAATTGGTTACATGCTAACTGAATCACAATCATCTGAGTGGATGTCCTATATGGGGGGGGGGGGTCTGTAATTGGGTTCAGTTTGGATGACCTTGCGTACCTTTCCAAGAGGTGTGTTTTTGCTACGTGGGAGTCTGTAATTGGGTTCAGTTTGGATGACCTTGCGTACCTTTCCAAGAGGTGTGTTTTTGCTTTAATCAAGCAAAGACTTGTAGATATTGTGATGCAAGAACTTAGAAGTCTTGTCTCTGGTAGATGTTCCCCTATGTGGTGGGAGATGTCTACTAATGGTGTTTTGGCTGAGTACTTCTCTAGCTTGACTATCCCTGAGCATCGGAGGGCATTTCTGTTAGCACGTTTTAATGTTCTTCCTTCTGCTGTACTGTATGGGAGGTTTAAAAAAATTCCATACTCCTCTAGGCTTTGTTCTTGCAAGTCTGGGGAAAATAGAAAGTACTGAACATGTTCTCCTGCATTGCATATTTTACTGTGATATCCATGCCATATTTCTAGAACCTCTGCTACGAATTCGCAAGAGTCAATCTGACGTTTGCAAAATGGTTTTTCTACTATCTTTCCATAACTCGGAGATCACTGATTTGGTGGCTGAACTTCTACGTTGTGCCATTAAGAGGAGACGAATGTTTCAACTCCAACAATGAAGGTTGTACTTTTTGATGATGTATGTTTTGTTGCAATGCCAATAAAGGTAGCTGACATTGATAAAGTCAAGTCTCTAGGGATTTCTGCTCCAGTGTCAAAAGGTAGTTCCGAGCTACTGTTCAAATCGTGTCCTAATATTACATTTTAGTTTTATTAGTCTTGCTGTTTGTAATCCACCACTTTCGGGTTACTGCAAAACAGGCAAGCGTGATAGGACAGACTGGGCAAGAGATCAAGAGCACAATCCATCAAAAGTTAGTCATGACTAATTTCCAGAGAAATCAATGAAACTGGACTGTGTTGCAGCTAGCATGCTGTCACTGGGCCTAATTAACAACCTGCTCTTAGTGAATAGTTTCCTACTATTTGGACGAAAAAGTAAAAGAACTTAGGTGTGAAAGTGATTGTCCCAGGATAACCTGCAGGGAATTATCGTTACGTTAGCTGACATTGGGACCTCAATCACTCCACTGACCCTAATCGATTCCGAATGGTGACTCACCTTGCTTCATTGTCACAAGTGGGACAGAGTGTCTTATGTACTGCAAGGAATGCACAGTTCAGGACAGTGTTGGTCTTCTGTTTTTTAACGACTTGTCTTTAACATGCTTCAAAGACTAAGAGGGCGATCTGCAGAAATCCACCTGCAGAACGACTCACTTCCATACTATTCATCTTCATCTAAAGTCCTGCCCTGTGCGCCCCCACTGAGGTGCACTGAGGCTAGGCTGCCGGCCACCCCAGACAGGGCTTTTTACAGTGGTGGTGCTCTTTTCCTTTTTTATTCAGGTTCTGGATTGTTTTTATGATTGTGTACTATTGGGATATTTTAAAAATCACTGACTACTGGCATGCTGTTTTTTCCTAACTTAATTTGTTCAAAGTTGCTTCAGGGATTTCTCTGGAAAAGTGGTTTAAGCCATAAGCTAAATAAATTAATGTCTTTCCTGACTCCCCTTTCCTGCTGCATCCGCTATGCCCCTTGAAAAGGTGCTCCCGTGGATCAGGAGACCATCAGAAACAGTGTGAGATGCAAAGGCACCACACTGATGGTGGTTTACAGGCACGGTCCTGTAACACAGGGTGCTATCAGCTCATTCCGGCACCCAAACCCTGTCCTGAACCTCAAAGCACTCTTTTCCTCAGGAACTATTCATGGCCCTCTCCCCTACTTTTTGGCCCCAATGCAGCAGAAAGCTTTGATGCAGCACCACCTTCAGTCCCTCTACCTTAAGGCAGTGTGGTAGAGGGACTGTCCATGGAAACATCAGGGTTTATTTAGCTAGGCTCCTTCTATTCAATGGAAGACAGCTTGAGGTACAACCTCAAAATAAAATAATACAGTCTTGGGTGTTTCATGGCTCCAGGCTAGGCAAGAATCCTCAAAGACCTAATTGCCTTTGTTGCCAGGACAGTCCCTATACATGTAGTATTAACCTGAGATCTTTCTCATCACTTGGGACCTTTCCAATTCAAACAATACTCCCTTCACAAAGCTACATTTTCTTGATTGCTAAATAGTAGCACTTTGTAGTTATATTTTGGCAACAAAAGCAAAAACTGTGAATGATGCATTGTTTCTAAAAGTGAGGTTTATAACCTATACATTTATAAAGCAGGGAAAACCAAAAAAAAAAGGGCTTTACACTTTGCTAGATTTGGGAACAGTAAAGGAAAGCTAATAACTTGAAAAGCTGTTTGACTCTCTTGGTAACAAGAGTGAGAGAAGAAGCTTTGCTTATTAAAAAAACATTCCTACAAAATCAGGGGGAGAATTAACTAGAAGAAGAAATTAAGAAAGAAGAATTCACATCCAAGTAGTCACAACAAGAGAAGTGCCAAGATATTAGTCATGCCTCTGGTGCACCAGATCACTGATTTAGTCAGCTGGCCACATACGAAAGCACTGCTTGACACGGTCAAAGTCCAGAAACTGTGCATGTCTAACACAGTGCCAGTGGTTGCCTGTTTGACGCAAACATGCAAATGACACTCCTGTCCTTTCCACAGCACCAGATTCCACATTTTACAAAAAGCAACGTTTCTCAATTCTCTCATTCGTAAATGGGAATTATGCTGGCCAATGCCTGGTCTATACAGACGATGACTCAAAATGCTGATACTTAGCTGAAATTTCAGGATTATTTCCTAGACTGACCTTATGACATTTGTTGTGTAATATTAGCTACTGAAAAGCTGCAAGGAAATCAACTCACCAGCTCTCCCTTGACTTCTGACCCAGACATTCAGCACAAAGAAACCCTTCTCTCTGTCCTCACATCCACACTGAACTGCGTGGGGTGGGGGGAGCAGTATGCCAATATCCCTCCCTCACCTTCATTCTTCTTCTGTAGGCCACAGAAAATTCAGAAGAGTGAAGGAAGAAGGTTTTTCTCCCTGCTGGAGATGTGACAGGCAGCTCCTACAAACACTTGGCACTTGTGAGAGAGCAACCACCTCACATTTTCTCTCTTATGGCTAAGTTTCTAAAGACACTTGCACTAAAGAGATACAGCTTGTACTTTCTTCAAAAGTATAGTGTGATAGGAAGAAAAAAGATCCCTTCCCTCAACTTCTCAGCACTTGAGGGAGAGGAAGCATCAATTACAACCAAAAATTATGGCTGGCTAATAAGCCAAGTCAAAATACACGGGTGGCCTTGTGAATAGCTGATCGATTTTATGTGGCCCACAGCAGACAGAACTTTTGAAAAAGCAGCACAGAGGAAATATGGAAGGCGGATGTAAGAAGACAGGAGCCAAAAACCAGAAAATCGATTGCTGACTAAGTTACAGTGCAGACAACCTTTCTGTGTGGAATTTCCCAATTATTCTACAGGAAGAAAGGCTTGAAAGAATATTGCAGTTTTCTAGCCCAGAATGCTAACCTGGATTTAGCCAGCCTCTGTACACTTTTCATAATATGACCATGGTGACCATGTATCTCCTGCCTTATCCTCAAAAATTAACATTTAGCAAAGGAAAAGGTCAAGATCAGATAAGGAGAGTTTCAGAATGCACTCTGTATTCATTTAGCGTGGGGAAGGATTCAACTGAGTTCAGTGGAATTTACTCCGGCATCAGATTAGGATCCATCCATTATGGATACTACACCACTGTTTCCCAAAATACTCATAGTTGCTAGACTGTGTTATCTGTGCATGTGATAAAGCATGTGCAAGAGACCTTGTTGTATAATTGTGGTGACTTCATTCAGTGTCTGCGACTTAAGTTCTATATCATCCTCACTGAAATCGTCACCTGCAGTCTGTTGCCTGCTGTCCTTTTCAGCTGCAGCACCCTGCATGTGGAGCGACTCTTTACCAGGCTCTTCACCTGAGGTTGCATCTGTTGAGTTTCCAGTGCCAAGTAAAATATATATTTACTGGCTCAGGCCTTTTGTTGAGTCATTATTAGTTGATGTGTTGTCTTTGACTTGGATGTTTTGCTTTGTGGTTTAATAATTAGTATTTCCCCTCCCTTCTGTAGTTTTTTAAAAATAATTTGGTACATATGGATTGGTTTCATTTGGTCTTATTTCTCTTCTATCCTGCTTTTAATTTTTTTAAATGTTGCTTACTCTGTTATGCAATACATATTTCAATTTGTTTATTATCGTTATTTGTCAGTTGTGGCCATGGGATTGGTTCGTTTATAATCTTTTTTATTGGCTTAATCATGGTTTCAGCACACTGAAGGCCTCAGAGACAAGACATAGGGTAGATATTTATCAAAAAATCTGTCTCCTACACCAGTGAGGTTGATACTTTCTCATTAATAATACCTGTGGAAACTGGTTTAACTAGCCTGTTAAAGGAAACTTGTCTGAAAGGAATAGCACCAAAAATCCTGGGGTAACTAGTGTTAAAACAGCAGTACAAATAGTCTTGGAATACAAAATAAGTAGCTCAACATCCCAGATGATGGGGGGGAGGAGTTAGATGGTATACAAAGTAAAGCAGAGTTTTCTGTATTGTGTCTATGACTTCTATCCTACCAAAAAGATCCGCTGATGGAAGGATTTCTCTCAGCAGAGTGCAACTTTCTCACTTCCACATTCAAGCAGCAGCTCAAAATGTGCCCCAAAATGCTGCTGTTGGGGGACAGGGAGCAGCATAAAGGAAGAACTGCAGGTCTGTGCCTGGAAGGGAGAACCAGTAAAAACTGGTCCTCCTTCCATCCACAGAAATTATTTGTCTGATCCAACCCTGTATATTTTAAACAGATTTTCTCTTACATTTTTCATTGTCAAAGTCCTATTCTAAAACAAAACAACCGGTGGTCATTCGTCCAGAAATGTCTTACTTGACTTCTGGTTTTCAGCCACCAGGTGAAGAAAAACATCTTTTTCATCAGCATGATATAACATTATTTACACAGCCAGTCTTGGTAACTGACTTTGTTCCCAAAACTTGGTTAATACAATCCACGCAGCAATTAATCGCTTTGTTCTATCTAATTTTTATTTTTATTATAGTTTTATGTAGCTGTTTAACAACAAAAGGGAGGGAAAAACACAAATGTCATTCATGTAAGGAAGAGAAACCATTAGTAGAAGAATTAAAGAAATGGAAACAAAGCTATATACTGTTCTTACAGGTACTTTGTGACATCAGCAACAATGAGCTCCTTCCTGGTTCTCTGGTCACTTTTGCTATGAGGGGGTCTTTCAGTTTTGAGTCTATTGTTGTGATATTGACCTGCTGACATTTTATTTATTTACTTCCAATTTATACCCGGCCTTGCAGACAAGCGAGGAAAAAATATTTTCATAATAAATAAATAAATAAATACACGTTAACACAAAAGACTTCCAATCATTTAGTCATCTGGAGATGAAACTTAACGAAAAGGACTACTGTCTTAATGGAGGCCCTGAAACATTAGAATCCTTTCAATAAAAGTAATAGAGGAGTACCAGTTTTATTTGAAACACATCTGATTTGACTTGTTCTTCATGAATTTTACGCACATATACCAAAATCTTTTCAGAATGTCTGCAGCATGCTGGTGCCATAATGTGCTTGATACTTGGTTTTTATGGTACAGTCAGGGAGGGGCTGTGGCTCAGTGGTACAACATCTGCTTGGCATGAAGAAGGTCCCGGGTTCAATTCCTTTCATCTCCCATTGAAAGGACCAGACAGTAGGTGATGTGAAAGACCTCTGCCTGAGACCCTGAAGAACCACTGCCAGCATGAGTAGAAAATATTGACAGCTTCAGTATAGCAGCGTCATATGTGATCTGTAGGCATAATGTGTGATTTTAGCTTATATTTTGGTTCCATGCAAAAATCATGAGGATCCATGAAAACCCATGTATGTTAATGTATTTTTTTTTTTTTTTTGCACCATGCTAGTATTACAAAGCTCACAGTCCCCCCGTTTTGGTGCTGATGTCTGTGTTATGTAATTTGATAGTGAATTCTGGGAGACTCCATGTAGAAATCACAAGGATCCACACTATGGATACATGTTTTCACAATGTGAAGCACTACATCCATGTTTTTATGGCACTGTCCACTGATAACCATACGATTTGCAATATGATGGTACTTCTGCTGCTGTTGTTAAATGCTGTTAGTCTTCAAGATGCTCCTAGACTTTTGCTTTATTCATTGTAGAAAACCATACCAATACCTGAGGATCCAAACTTTTACCCAATTCCATCCCAACAAAAGCTCACAAAACTAAGTGAGTAAGGTATTGCACTATACTAATTGCTTACCGCAGCCTCCAGTGTAGGGCAGAAGAAAGTATTGTCTCAACATGCCCCCACAACCAACCGTACTAGGACCTTTTTCAGGCTCCTTTCAAAAGATCCCTACTACGGTATCTCAGGCAAAGTGTTCATTTACACGCCCGAGTTTAGTCAGGAGAGTACAAATGTGGCAAGATGGGAGAGGGTCTGGTCCCTGACAACGAACCGCGGCCTTGGCAACAGGCCTCTTCCCTTGTGGGGCACCTGGGCCGGTTCCCCGCATCCCAATCGGCCCCGCATCCCAGCTCGCCCCACTTACTCAGCCCGGCCCGCCTCATCCTTGCGGTCCGTGCGCTGCCCCCTCTGTGCGCGGGAGGGGGGGGGGTCTGACGAAACCTCTTCAAGCGACACTCGGCCAGAGAAGGGGATTCCCCTCTAAGAACTCTGCCGGCACCTATCACCCCACAAACGCCACGACATCACTCAGCCTGCACAGTGCCTTCTGGGAGACGTAGTTCTGGTTTCGATTTCTCAAGGCCTTCTGGGTAGCGTAGTTCCTAACGGAAACTGCGGTCTTCTGGATAATGTAGTTTCGGGAGCTCGAAATTCCAACACGGAATGCTTATTTGTGGGGTGTTAGTGCACCCGCGATTCGCTGTTTAAAAACCAATAAGTAAAAGCGTGTTTTTTAAAAAAATTAAAAGTTTCCTCCTTTCGACGCATCTGAACAGCGAGCCCCCCCCCCCCCCCCTCAAGAGTGTAAAAACCGCAATCCAAGATTGTCCCGAGTAGAAGAAGCAGAGTGCGGTTGGGAAATGATTCGTGGAGCGAAGCCTCTTCTGCATTTCACCGTGATCGATACCGTTTATTATGTTTTCTGTCTTCAGTTTAATGTCTTGCACGGGATTTATTTCTTGGTGATTTCCTACATACTTTTAAACGACTTCCTTTGTGACATCCTCTCTGGCTTTGTTTGTTTACTTACGATTAATTGGCAACCCCACGACTGCGGGAAACAGTGGCATCCATCTCCCCATACAAGGGGGTATTGCTTGAATGGCCCCTGAACGTTCAGCTCTTTTAGCCGGGGCACCAATATGTTGCTGAGACCAATTTAAAAAACTCCGAAAGTGGGCTGCCTTCCAAAGACTCCCAGCTCTTCGACACCGTTGTCCGTTGTTGTTTTTATAGTCTGGTTGTGGGGCACCAATATGTAGCAAGACAAGTCTATGCTGGGAGAAAAGTAGTTTATAAAGATACGCTAGGGGAAAAGTAATTGTCCTTCAAGCTGCTGTGAATGGTTCAAAACATAAAACACTTTAAAGACTAAAAACTCCAGCAATGCATTTGAAATGTAAATAAGGCCTTCCTAACGGTACTAATGTGAAGTCTGAACAGTGGCTGGGGGCCACATGCCAGAAGATAAGTGCTGCTACCCTTGCTAGAATGGAACGCCTGGAAGGTATGTCTGTGGAACTGTTTGTTCCCAGTAAGCACAGAGAGGCCTTCACATCTTTTCCTATTTTTGCCTGTTGATGAGAAGGGAGATTTAGATATTATAGCATTAATACACATACACCCTAGCCTTGCCTGCCTTGCAGGACTGTTGTACAGATTACTGAGATACTGAAAGTGATGTCCTTTGTCCACTCGTAAGAAATCAATACTCTCACTTATTTAGGAGTGTTAGATCGCGCTAACAAAGGACTCTTAGAGTGATTCAGCAAGTGATTCAGCTTTATTGGAAGTAACGAACAAGCACTCAACTCAGTAAGAAACCAGAACAGAAAACAGTGGGAGCTTATGCTCCTTTTAAACATAACCGGGCTAATGTAGCCACGCCTATTTACAATTAACAACCAATGAGATTGCTTAGTTAAGGACCAATGGGAGTCTTTCCCTCCTAGGGAATGGTATCGTTCTGATTGGTCGCTGTTACGAAGCGACCAATAGGAAGTTTGCTCAGAGGAGCCCTGGTCTGGCTCGAAGCTTAACATAGGAGTCCTATGAGGTGATTCATGTAATCATTTCAATACATTACAAGGAGTAAACCCACAGAACAGTCTTGACAACCCGAGTGGCTGATAAGGTAAAACATATTTTATTAAGTAAAAATAAGCTCAATGGGACTCAATAATGAGTAAACACATATAGTATCATCATGCAAACTCCTATAAAAAATATGCCTGATCTCTCCTGCAACATAATCCAGGTCTCTCCTGCAACATAATCAAAGGCAATGTTGGTGCAAGTGGTGCCGTAACACTTCAGATCACTGTGTTATTAAACTCATAGTGAGCTTGAAATGCACCAAAATTAATTTGCAAAGCTAACTGATCTCCCACAACTTTCCTCCATGAGAAAGTTTTATGAACATTGAGGTTTATCATCTTATATTAAGAATGTGACTCATTCCACATGTAACAGGATTATAGATTTATTTCCCTTAGTGATAACCTTGAAAGAAAAATGCTGCATTTGGAAGATGTGAATCACACGGGGACAAGTAGTTTCTTCTTTTTATAATTTTGCACAAACTCTTACAAAACTGTTCTTATCAGTTTCTGTGTTATTCATGGAACAACTCTGTTTATTACCATTACAACAGAAGGATACAGGATATCACAATATGGTAGAAGTAAGCATACGGTAGGACATATATTTTTTTAAAAACCAACGTGTGCTTAATATAACACATGCATACATCTAGCTATCCCTAGTGGAACTGACAGTCATGAGCCCAGCTTTTTCACATTCAGGCAAAAAACATGCATTTCTCATTTGCTTCCATATTTTTTTCCCATTTGGGTTCCATTTAGCCATTTTGAGAGTCAAGCTCCCTTTGTCAGATACAAGTCGGAGGAAGCATTGATCCTCAAGAGGTTATATCCCCAAAAACTTGGTCTCCGAGGTGCTACTGGACTATCTAGCTGTTCTACTGCAGACCAACAGAGCTACCTTCTGAAATTATCTTTTGAGGGTGTGTCACGGCTCAGTGGGGTGTCACGTGATGCTGCCACCACTCTGGTTCCAGGCTTCCTTGAGAAGGCCCAAAGCACCCTCCCAAGACCTTCTGACCTCCCTTTTGACCAAATAATAGGCGTGAGGACCAGGCAGAGTGAACAATGAAAATACTTTATTTTATAGGAGGTCACACAACAAAGTGCAGAATATAACAGTAAGTGGGTGAAAAGAAATTAAATGCCCTAACGTGTCTAAATATATACTGTCCCTAGCTCACTATTCCAAGTGGCACTAGACTACTCACCCTTCCCTCATGATGAGGGTCTCTTCCCCACCGCAGCCTCTCCTGGCCCTGTTCCCTGGGGAAAAGAACAGCTTTTCCTGCTGCACCAGATCTTTTATTCCAAGCCCTTCTCTTTTCCTATTGGTCAATTTTGGCTCCAAAACCTCTCAGGGGCTTCTGGGAGTTGTAGGCCCAGTCTCACCTACTGCTAGCCAGGCTTCCTGGGCCTAGTAGGCCTCTGGTGGCACAGCCCAGATCATGACAGGGTGAATTCCTTAAATTAACTACATGGTTTATGAAGAAAGACTTTTGTCTGCGTGTCCTAAGTCTACTGCCCATCAATGTAATTGGATGCCCTTCAAATTCTACTTCTATAGAATATTATTATACTTTTTATTTATACAATGGTGGTATAACTTCTAAGCAGAGTGGCTTGTGCATTATAGTGGTACCTGAAAATATGTTGTTGTTGTTCAGTCGCACAGTCGAGTCCGACTCTTCGCGACCCCATGGACCAGATCACGCCAGGCCTTCCTGTCTTCCGCCATCCTCTGAAGTTTGCTCAATTTCATGTTCATTGCATCTATGACACTGTCTAACCATCTCATCCTTTGCCGTCCCCGTCTTCTTTGACCTTCAATCTTTCCCAGCATCAGGGTCTTCGCCAGTGAGTGCTCCCTTCTCATTTGGTGGCCAAAGTATTTGAGCTTCAGTTTCATTATCTGGCCTTCCAGGGAACAGTCAGGGTTGATTTCTTTTAGGATTGACTCGTTTGCTCTTCTTGCAGTCCAAGGGACTCTCAAGAGTCTTCTCCAGCACCATAGTTCAAAAGAATCTATTCTTCGGCGCTTGGCCTTCCTTATAGTCCAACTCTCGCAGCCATACATGACTACTGGGAATACCATTGCTTTGACCATGTGGACTTTTGTTGGCAGGGTGATGTCTCTACTTTTTATCATGCTGTTTAGGTTCACCATCGCTTTCCTCCCAAGGAGCAGGCGTCTTTTAATTTCATGGCTGAAAATATGAGGCAACGGTATAATAATCTACATTTTTGTAGCCTAATCCGCAACTCAGTTAAATTGAAATATTTGGATTTAAACATATATTTTAAAATATTTCCTTCCCCTGCAGCTAAGATATCTTTGACAAAGATATCACATGCCTATGAAGTAAATTTTATCACCCATGAAAGCCCCAGAATACCGTGGCCTCTAAAGAAGCAAACATGCCATTCTGCTTTTTCAAACTGCTATATATAATGTTCTCTTAACAACAACACCCCTTCAGTCTGTTTCTCCCTAGTATATTACAGATGTTGGCTGGCATCATTAGTGAATTACCAAGCTGTTGTTACAGGCAATTATGTGGAAGAATCTAAATTTTCACCCGGTTTGCTTTTTTTGTGAGACATTTCTTTCTAAACCCCCTCCCCCACTTGCCTGTAAATGGGTAATGCATCAGTGTAATTATATAATGGCTGACTGAGATTTTTTATCAGCACAGTCTACAACTTCAGCCACATAAAAGCCAGAGCACATCCCTTTCAAACAAGCTCTTTCTCTTTTCAGCAGGGAATAATGAACGTTTTCTTTTCTCCTAATTTAACATTGTATAGCTGTTACTAATAGAACCTGGTAATTGCAAACACATAAATCACTTGGTTGGTTCAATGGAATAAATTAATCAGCTTTAAAATGCTGGCTTCTGTGCTTTCTACTCAGGCATGATGTCCATTGACTTTGCGGCATTCGATAGCCATTCAAATGACATTGGCTGCAGTCCTAAAGTTATTTGCATTGAAAGAGCCTTGCTTCCTTGGATGGAAATTCTCTGCTGTGGATAGAACAGACCTGCCTATAACCTCCAAGAGGAATTCTGGGGCTTCTTGCTAATAAAAACTCTATCAAATGGTGAAAATGTTTATGGAAACCACCTCTACTGCTTCATTTACCTTGATAAGAATGCTCAGCCTCCCCCCAAACCTCTCAGCTTTTCATTAGGTCCCCTGTAACATCTTTTGCACCATCCACAGGAGCCTCTTGTTCCCTTATTTCTTGCTTTCTTCTGGATTTGTGTGAAGCAGATGTTTCACGTGTGCTTTGACTACTAGAACTATCTAATCTTTTCTTCAAGGAGCTCATTATTGGGATATTTGGTTAACATAGTAGAGTTTGTCCAGTCATAGAGGCATCATACTGAGTACAGTAACTAAATCTCCCAAGATATATATTGCAAA